ATTACTCCACAATGTATATTCAAAAGATCCGGGGCTTTGCAGTTGTATGAAATTGCTGGTCGTGTGACCTTGGTGGGCCTACCTCTAAGACCCTCTGTTTTTATCTACAAAATGGGGGTTACATTAGAGGTGCTGAGAGGACTATAGAAAGAGTCTATATACAGGGCCTAACCCATGGTTGGCATTTGATAAGTTAGTCAAAGCCTTTTGCTTCCTAGCTGGGACATGCAGAGGCTGGTGGCAGAGAATCATGGTTTGGGGTATTGGGTTGGCCTGGAGTTGGCCTGGTATATCCAGAACACAGGTGTTTGAGTTGGGAGCCTAGGATTAGAATTGGGTCTCTCTTAGAAGCCACATGACCTCAGACATTCAGCCTTCCTGAATCTACACCAATAGCACTGTTAGAAAATAAGTGTTATATATTAGTTCGTAAAAAAAAAAAAAAAAAAAAATATGCAGGGCCTGGCACATCTATTGCCTGGTAAATAGTGACCATTCTTATAGGATTTATGACTAGGAACCTTCATTCACATGATAGCTACTGAGACAGTATGTAAAGCCAATGATGACATAGGAGAAGCAGGAAAGAACAGAAACCATCAGTGGGAATACAGCTAAGACATGAAGAATATTCAGGAGGGAGAGACCTCGGGTATGGAAAGAAGTAAGGTGCCAATTAAGGCTGAGACTGCAGAGCCTGGAAGACTCTGCAATCACGCTGTTTTTCTCACCATATAAATATAACTGAATGCTATTTCACTAGACATCTCACAATTGATGTGATTAATATAAAAAATAATAATGACTACTGGGATGATCATGTATTTCTTGAAACTGAGGAATGCATAAAAGATGCAATGTAAAACAAAGCTGAAGATAGAATTCCTACATTTTCCTCATGGAATATTAAATGCAATAGATCATACAAATTTCATTGTCACTTGCATAGACAATTGAACAATTTCTTATAAAATATACTGGTGTGTTCTTTTTAAAATAACATAATCACTGACACCCTGTTCATTTTACAGAAAAGGAGAAATGGTCCACTCTGTTCAGTTGGTGAGTAATGCAATGATAATTTTCAGATATTCAAACAACAGGGTTTCAAAATGACTGTCTTTGGCCCCTCAAACCTGTGGCATTTTCTAACTTACTCATTCAGGCAGGCAATCTAGCTCACTTTGGATCTTCTGTCATTAAAAGGATTTATAAAACCTCAGAATATTATGTGATGCCATTTACCCACTTGAGCAATTAAAGAAATATGAGAAAGTAAGACAAAAAATCCACATTTCTTAGTTAAGTTTTCCTTATTTAAATTCTGCACACACACACACACAAACAAAAAAAAAAAACCCACATTTGTGTAACGAGAAGATTTCAGCTAGGTAAATATGCTCACGTTGCCCGGAGCAGTAGCACATGCCTATATCCCAGCAACTTGGGGGGTTGAGGCAAGAAAATTGCAAATTCACAGACAGCCTCAGCAACTTAGCGAGACCTTAAGCAATTCAGTGAGACCCTGTCTCTACATAAAAAAAATATGAAAAAAGAATGGGGATGTGGCTTGGTGGCTAAGCAGCCCCAGGTTCAATCCCTGGTACCAATAATAATAATAATATGTGTTAAAAATATACATACACACATATGCATACACTGATTTGTCCACTAAGAAACTCTGCAACCCTAGACAAATTCTTGGGGCCTTCAGTTCCTCAAGTGTAAACAGGAGGAGTTGGCCTGGTATATCCATAAGATCCCTCCTAGTTGACAAATCATGTAATTCTAAGGTACAAGCAAGTCCTTCCAGAAAATGTTTAATTATTGGGGGAAGAAGAAATACAAATTAATCCAACTATGAGGCCTCTGGAATAAAAGCCTAGAGGTGTTAAACTGCAGTTGATATAAAGTAGTCCTATTAAAATGATAATGTATAAGAAAGGGATTAACAACATCTATCATTTGAGATCGTAGGGGGAAAACAAATCATAACAACAAAAATAATGATACCAATACAAGACCAAAGATCATTTCATCTGGTTTCTTCAGCAAGAAAAATCCTGAGTCAGAAAAGGGGCAGAACAGGTGAGAACACAATACAAAAAGCAAATTACAACAAAAAGCCACTGTATCAATGCTGTGAGAAAGGATGAACAGCAGTTAATTAGAATAACTAGTAATGCTCTAAAATCTTAGTATTTATTCACTCAGTCTCCATGAAATCAAGCACTAGCTATTCACTTCCCTCCACAGTCCATAGGAAAGCTTCTTGTCTTTAGAAGCCATCAGAGAGAGAGCAGGATTAAAACCAGTGCCCTTAGCAGGTCATGGTGGTGTCCACCTGTAAACCCAGAAACTCAAAAGACTGAGGCAGGAGGATCACAAATTTAAGGCCAGTCTCAAGCAATTTAGTAAGGCCCTAAGCAACTTAGTGAGATCCTGTCTCAAAATTAAAAATAAAAAGGGTTGGAGATGTGGCTCAGTGGTAAAGTGCCCCTGGGTTTATTCCCTTATTTGAAAAAAAAAAAGGAGTGCCCTTAATTTATAGTCTCTATTTGTGAAGGTGTTCACTTCATATAACTTTTACATAGTGAGAAAAATACAAATCAGAATTCTCTTTCCTAATATTTGGGACAGGAAAAACAAAGCATGATTTTTAAGTGAAAATTGTCTTTTTCTAATTTGAGTTCCACAGTATTCTATCATAGACCAACAAATTTGGTACAATTGCTTAGGAACTCTCCCCAGAGCTATTATTTTAAAGAAATTAGAGAACATTTCACTTTTGTATACAGGAAAAATAAAGGAAAAAAGAGATTCCATAGACTTCCCTGGGCTATAAAATTTCTTTAAATAACAATAATGTTTTTAAAAAGAAAAAAAATATAACCTGTGTCAATAATATTTAAGGATGAGCAGTTCAATTTGCCAAAGCCCATCTCTGTAACACGTGATGGTTGTTTAGTACATTAACTCAGCAATTGTCACAGAATTTAAACCCCCAAAGTTGTAAACAAAATATAGAGCGCTCTTTTGTTCATGACATGTCATGAACAAATTACCAAAATGTGTTTTCTCCTCAGGTGTCAGTTTTTCCCTCTTTTAGTGACTGATGGCTCCCAGTGTTATTACAGAAACAGATTGATCTTTTTAATGAGCCAGTTTAATAGACTCCAAAATCTCACCGTGGCTGCTCATCCATGTCAGACCATATGCACCAACAAAACATTCAGTAAAACAAAAAAAAGCTCTGCTGTCAGACAGCTCCATACTCTATAAAATTTCATATAGTAGAGCTGGATATTCAGATAAACAGCCAGAGAAGAGGAAAATGCAGATGCAAACAAGATGCAGGAAATACATGCAAAAAGAAAATAAAGAAAAAGCCCAATACTATAGAGGTCCATATTTTCTTGGCTCAGATCAAATTCCCACGAGATACAAATGTATTTACGCAACATAGTCTCATTATTCTTTCTAAGGAAAATTCTAAGGAAACCTATTTGCCATCTTTCTATTATAACATATACTTCAGGGTTCCTTTTGAAAAGGGATGTTCCATCCAAAGATCAACCATATGAATTCTGACTACAGCAACTGTCTGTGAATAACCAGAGAACAAGACAGAAGACTCCTTTTAAGAGTCTTCAGCCTGACTAAATGAGCATGCTCTCGCTGTCTATCCACCCCCCCTACACACACACACACACCACACAGGGGGGTAGGGCAGAGGGGGAGAGAGAGAGTTAGAGATCAGAACAAGAATGCTGAGTGTCTGTGGAATTTAATATGAAGTTTTGATATCAAGGTTAACTGCTTAGAGCTTACCTCAGGATTGTCCCAGGAAAGTCAAAAGCCATGTTACATTCAAACAAAAATTGCTAGAAAAGAGCCAGTGGGAAAATGGCTGGGAATATAGAAAAAAATGAATGAACTAAAGTTTTTATATTCCATCTTACGGTTATTCAGTAGTTAGGAATTCTAGCTGAGGTCATGCCCACTTTGAATTTTGCTTCAAAGATTATCTTTATGTTTATCCTAACTATCTAAATCTTTTTATTACACCCTCCTCGCCCCCAAAATAAATTTCCTCTTCTCAGTTTGCCATTCAGCTTCTCCCTAATTATTTTATCACATTATCCTAGAAACATGGAGCTAAAATATCAATACCTGCACGCAGCACTTATTTCCCACAAGGTTAATGGGCTCAGATTGGACAGGAATAGACACGTAAATCTATTCCTGAGCCACTTCTTCGTTCTTATCATTGTGTAGACATACCACACAGGTACCCACATTAAGCAATTCCCTTTAAAAGCAAATGTACCAAATGCTCTTATTCCCTCTTAAATCTGACCAAGAAAATATAATTTTCAAAAAGAAGAAAGGAGTACCATGGGCAGGTCATATGAGGAACTGGATCTCCAATATTTCACTAATATTTAACCTTTTGCTTTAGGAAAATTAAACCATGAAGTCCTAGGTCAAGAGGAGATAAATTCCAGTGGTTGTAGCATAAAAACTGCTTATCAGAGAATTATGTAATGACTACACTATAAATGGGTGGCTTTTAATAATATTCTGATTTGCACAGCAGCTAATACACTTAAGGGTAGCTAAGTCTGTCACAGACAGAGGTCTCTGGGCAGTTCCAAGGATGTTAATCTACTGTGAATCTGGAACATAACTAGGCCAGTGTCAACATCTCATAGGCTGTTGCACCATGTCTGATTAAATGCAGAAAAATAAGAAAAAAAAAAGAGAGAGAGAGAAAAGAAACCCAGTGCATGACAAATCAAGTTGTAGAGTACAGTTTCATTTTAAGAGTCTCCACGTTTCACATATACTTTGCAAAACGCTACTGAGACTTCGCATTCTTATATCATTGCTATTCCCCTAGAGATGAAGGCCAGCAGCGAAACTACAAAGAAACATGTCCTTGTACCCCAGGTAGGAGGGCCAGGCTGTGATGGGCCCAGGGTCCTCCACCCTCTCAC